AAGAGAGGATGTGGGGAAAAATAATCAGAATATATTTTATGTAAGTTTAAAATTGCCAAATAACAAAATTAATTTACAAAATTAGTTAATACAAATGTGATTAATATCATAAGTGTAAGTAATGAATATCATGACTGATGAAAAAAAAAAAAAAAAAAAAGAGAAGAGTTGCTGTGATCATGGTGTCTTTTCACAGCAATAGAACCCCTAAGACACTCCCTCACTCCCTTTTCTCTCTGTTTCCTTCTTCCTTCCCTCTCTCCCTCCCTAATGACTTTTTCCTTCGGAATCATTTATTACTATTCAAAGTGAAACAGTACCCACGACAGCCATAGGAGACTCAATAGCAATTCGTCAGTATCTTTCTGCTTCTAGCCCCCACCTTAAAATACTCAGTAGAGGCAGAAGCCTTTTCCTGGGCTGGGGAGCTGCCTTAGTGGGTAAAGCTCTGGCTGTGTTTGAGTGAGGACCTGCGTTCTAACCCCCAGAACCCCCAGAAAGTTCGAGGCAGTAAATGTACATCTGTAGCACCAGAGCTCCTCGAGTGGGATGGCAGGTAGAGATGGGAAATCCTGCAAGTTTGGGGGCCACTTAAGCTTACATAATCAGCAGTGGACAACAACAACAATAAAGAGACTCCATGTCAAACAACGTGGAAGAGAAATACTGACACAGGAGGTTGTCTGCTGACCTCTATGTGCAAGCTGTGGCACGGCACACACACACACACACACACACACACACACACACACGCACGCACGCACGCACGCACGCACGCACGCATACACCACGACACTTATCCCTACCTCATTCCTTACTGTCTGCATGCTCGTTTACAGCTCTCCTTATCACCTGAGCATAAGTCAAGTGACCTCATGTCTCTTGTTTATGACATGGTACATAGTAGGGCCTCAGGAGAGTTGTTTGAGTGAATGAATATTTCTTTTGTGCATACATGTTTTACTCTTATGCTCTTATCTCCTTAAAATAAATATTTGGAATAGTAGACTTCGTAGAGGCAGAAAACAGACTAGCACTTTGCAGGGGGTTAGGCAGAGGCTGGAATCTGGGGAGTTTGTGTTCAATGGGGACTGAAATTCAGCTGGGGGAGATGATAACAATTCTAGAGAAGGGTGGCAGTGATGGCTGAACAACAAAGTAACTCGACTCGATGCCACCGAACTGCACTCTTAAAGTGATGAGCATGTTAGTGGGCTTATATTTTGAGCATGTAAAACTGTTAGCTGATTAAGAACAGACATAAGCGGCAGAATTGTAGGTATATGCACACACATGGAAAGTGGAATAAAAGCATATATGCCTACCTGCTAAAAGAGTCAGTTTCAGAGGAAAAAGTCTCACCACCCTAAAAGTACACATCTAAACTATCTGAGTTAGACTTACTGGGTGAAGGGCTTGTATGCACATTTTAAGGTTTGCTTCTGTTTCCAAGCTTAGCAGTTTTTACATCCCAGCTGTCTGCTCAGGAGAAGGCCCACTTTCTAAAATAGCCAGCACATTTTCTTTATTCTTGTACATAGGCATGATACACAAACACACACTTGATTAATTTATTTGTATGTTTATTATTGAAAGTTAATAGCTTTTTATATTCATTGTTCTTTTATTAAATACACTTTTTTAAAATATTTATTTCTATGGGGATGTTTCTTTGAATTGATTTATATGAATTCTGTGTGTAATAAAGGAATTAGCTCCTGGCACATCATTTTGTTTGGAAATAACATGTAGAGTCTGGGAGAAAGGGAGGGCAGGGAGAGCTGTGTAACTAGAAAGACAAAAAAAAAGAAAAAAAAGAAAATACTCAGTAGAAAGACACTAATAATGCAGGCAGAAGTCATCCACTTCTGAACCACTTCTTACCATTGGAAAGGAAGGGTATGTATGCCGTGATTATCAATTATCATGAATTAAACAGACACCTGCCCTTAAAAAAATATAGCCAGGGAGGTGTGGACCCAGAAGCACCTGTAAAAGACAAACACTGGAAATGCTTCTCCATAGCAGTAGAAAACCTCAGAACTATGGCAAGAACATAGCAAGGAATCCATTCTTGTCTCATAAGAGGCAACAAGGAAATATTTGCTTGTGAGCCCATGCACAAATGAAGAAACGATTGGATGTCATGGCTGCCCTGCCATATCCCTTCATGTGTTGTCTTTTAAAATCATTCAATACCAACATCCTTCCAAAAATGCGTTTTGGTGAAGGATATTCTTCTGTACTAGAGAAAGCAGTAAGCACAGTAAACATCAGTGTGATGGATTTCCTTACTTTGGGTAACATCACTTGCCATCTAAGAATTGCCAAGCTACTTTCCACAGGAATGGTAAGGGAGTCATCAGCCTCTGACAGACAGAGTCCATTCTGTGGGGAGCTGAAAAAGCCCTGAGTGCATGAAGTCCTGAGTGAATGTGTACTGTTGACATAGGCTTAGCCATGTCTAGGACCCTGTAGCTTCAGAGCCATGGGAAAGTGCCAAAGCCTCACTTTAGGCTCAGGTAAAATGACAAAGCCTTCTCTTATACAGTGTGTGTAGAATTTGTCCACGATAGCTTTCTTCCCCAAATGTTTATGGTCTGAAGACTACTCCCTTACAAAGACTGTGCCTTCAAGGATTAGCTAAACCTGTCTCCTTGATACAGTTCTATGCCCCAAATTCTGCCTCCTTGTTTATCTGTATGTAATAACCCTGCTCCTTGTTCAGCAGTATGAAATAACTGGCCCTTATGTTAAAAACTATATAAGAAACATGCTGAGATCTTGGGGTGTTGAGATCCCGGGGTACTGAGATCCTGGGGTGCTGAGATCCTGGGGGTGCTGAGAATCTCTGAGAGCCCAGAGAACTGGATCCTACTTTCTGTCCATCTTTCCTTGCTCCCTCACGCCCTAGTCATGTCTGTCCCTGGAGATCTGCAGGACTTGGCACTCTTCTTTCTACTTCTCAACTGTTTCATCTACCAAGAATGTCCTCTTAAAGAAGACCCAAGTTTGGTTCCCAGCACCTGTGTTTGACAACTTACGACAACCTGTAATTGCAGCTCCAGAGGCTCTGATTTCAACAGGCACCTACATTCATATGCCTAAACACAGAGAAACACACATATACATAATTAAAAATAAAGTAAATCTTTTTTAAAGGAAGGAAGGAACAAAAAAATTACCTACATTCCACTCTCCTACTTCCTCTTTTAATCAAAGTTCCAATAAAAATATACGAACTAATATTTCATATAATAAATATGTTCAGATTATTAAGTCATGACAAACATACAGATGCAGAAATGTATATAAATAGTATCTGACTAATCAATTTAATGCAAAAAGACATACTGTGAAATTCTAAGAAAATTTGAAGATTATTCTAGCAATGATCCAAAGTGATCAAAATTACCACTAAAGTTTGCATTATATTGAAAATTATCACTGTTTACAGTATGTTAAAAATTACTGCATCTTCATAAGAAATAATGTTCTCTTTGGTTGATAAAAAGTTATTTCCAAGCTTTATTGCACAAAAGTTTCTGTTACTTTTTTCAAATATATTTGAAATGGGTATTAAACTCTTTTTTTCTATTCTTTAATGATTAAAAATGTTAATTTTCCTCTATAAACTGTTTGGACCAAATAACACTACATTTTGATGTGAGAAATTCTATGTGCATCTATTTGAAGACTTCTGTATTCTACTTTCAACTAATAATCATTTTAAAAAAAAAGATTCCGGTGAGGTTTTAGTTTTGGTGGCGTGGCGGTAGTGGAGGTGTTCAAACCTTGGAGTTGTCTTGGACCTTTACTGTGTTGCTGTTATAAAATGTAGTCAGTACCTTTTTTATTTTTACAAATCTATTTTCATTTTTATTGTGGTTGTGTTATTCAATTAAAATTCTCTAAAATTGGTTCCTTAAAACTCTAAAACTGGACCAACCACATGATACATCTAGACCACTCTCCCAGTGCAGACTTGAAGGACTCAAAGACAGCATACTATAGCAATATGTGCACACGCATGCTCACCACAGCACTATTCTCAAAATCCAAGTTACAGGAGCAGCCTAGATGCCTGTCAATGGATAAATGGGTAAATAAAATTGGTATATA